CAGCTGGGATTTAGAAAACAGACCAGTGCCCCCCCCACCCCCAAGCGCCGAGGGAAGGGCCGTGAGCTCCAGTCCCAGGAGGGCGAGAAGCCTCGCGGCCTGCCTCAGACATGGAGAAACTGCAGCCCTGGTGATCATTTGGTTGCCTGTGGTTTCTGGCACAAGGTAACCTAGATAATTATTACTCCAAATATTTTCTGTAATTACAAATACATTTGTCCAGTCCTTTCTCCCCACCTAACTGGGGGTCCATGGGATGTTCTCCGCAGAGGCAGCCCCTGCCCGCTGGGGGCTGCTGAGTGACCAGGGAGGTAACGGATGACAGCCCTCCCCTCCCCCAGTCCCACCCAAGCTGTGTTGACCAATGGATAGAGCAGGATGCAGCAGAAGTGATAGAGCTGACAGTGCCCCAGACCCGGCCTCTCCAACTTGGGGGACGCGTCCAAGGGTGCTTAGACGTGGCTGGCAAGACCTCATCACACGCACTTTGGACAGGTCATCAGGAGGGAGCAGGGCCTGGGGGAGGATGTCGGCTTGGTCAAGTAGAGGGTCAGAGACCAAGAGGAAGACAGTGGCCGCAACAAGGACTCAATGGTGGCAACGGTTGTGAAGGTGACCAGGCAATGGTTTGTTTTGTTGTGCAGGGTCCACCGTGAGTCCGGACACCAACCCCACCCAACAACCCCACGGGGCCCTCCAGGAGAGGTGCCATCTGCTTGCTGTAATGAGGGAGGAAACTGGACACAGGAGGATGCTGGCCCGGCCATCTGGCTCTCACACAAGGTGCTGGGTACCCATCTGGAGTGGTTGGGTGCTGGGAGGAGGTCTGGCTTGGTGAGGGGCCTCAGGAACATGCTCCTGCCCCTGATGGGGATGTGAGAGGGAGGTTATGGGGCGTGCAGTTATTAACGCCTCCAATCATTTCTGTTTCTGGCTGTTAGGCAGCCTGGGGTGGGAAGGGAGCCCGAAGTAGAGGTAGTAGTTACACGTTGAGCTGCAAGCCACAAAGTTAGCAGTTCGAAGCCACCCACCGCTCTGCAGGAGAAAGATGAGGCTTTGTACTCCAGTAAAGAGTCACCCGTCTCAGACACCCCCAGGGACAGTTCCACCCTGTCCTGAGTCAGCATTGACTCTATGGCAGGGATTTGGGGGTGTTTT